ATGAATAACACAACTGAGCGGAGCCGGCTCTGCCCAGTAGTTACTGTTTAATGACAGTTCAGCGTCCCCAGGTAATTTGGGGATGCAGGTAGAAAAAAAAAGTGAAGAAAAAAAACCATAGCGCAAGCATCGGAGCATTTTGACAAGTACAAGTACTTGTCAAAATGCCCTGTTTTTTCCGCCCTCACCCTGCAGCGCCCTCAGGCGGCCACCTGACTTGCCTTGCGGTAGCGCCGGGCCTGTTGGCTGCTGTACGGGTTATTGTGAATAGCCGAAGGATCAGCCGAAGCTACGGCTGGATCCTTCGGCTCCTTCGTAAATAACCCCCTTTATTTTAGTAGCCATAATGTGATATTACAAGATGATATTCGAAAATACATTTGAAAATTCACAAGAACATGTGTGCATCCATTTGCACAGAATGGACATTCACAGAGATTTGCGCTACAAATACAAATTAATTATAAATAGAGCCCTAGGTCTACATTTTCATAGGCTCAGATCCAAAGTTATTCAGAAAGTGAACATACTAGAAACTACAGGAACTAAGCACAGGACGAAAGGCAAGAAGATAATAAGATAATAAGATTGCCACCTGAGGCAGATGGGGGTGCTGGTGGTAGGCGGGACATCAGACAGAGCATCCCACTCAGCTCCTGGCAACCATAGATATCACTGGTTGCCAGGAGCTGGGCGGGATGTCGATCCGAGCATCCCAAGTTAGTAAGAGCTGGGCAGGAAGATGTATATGGCCCTTACACATCTTCCCACCCGGCTCTTAGCTACCTGGGACAAGATGTCCGGAAAGGAGGGGCCAGGCACATTGCAGGCCCCCCATGTGACCCAAAGAGACGCCAACTAGGCTGCCTCATTATAAGGAGGACCCTGGACACCACACAGCAAGCCGGTAGTGTTCCTCATCAGTTTCATTCTAGATTTTCCATGTTTTACTGTTGTCTACCTATATAAACCTGCAGAGCCTAATGGTAGAATTGGACCAAGCATGGCTTTTGCAGAGAAAAGTCGAGATTTGCATATAAATTCCTTCTATATACTATAATAAAGTATATTCTCAGATCTACCTAGTTTTCTGTTAGGTGTTTTTTCTTAAATTTCTGGTAACCGTTGCTCATACATTGTTGCATGATGTGCTTTGTGAAATGTTTAATTTACGCTTTATCATCTATAAAAACCAACAAATAAAATTGGGGCGGATTGACCCCTCAGGACAAAATAAACACTTCTTATAATTGCATTATAATTTGCAAGCTCCAATCTAGTTTGTGTCTTTCAAGAATCAGTTGGTGAACGCGTTTCGGCATTATCTCGTAAGATAGAACTTTGTCTTAGGAGAGATCAATACATAACAAGTAATTGCTTTTCTATTAAATCTGCTTTATTGCCTCATAATCAATTCACAAAGAGTATAATTGCTTTTTAGAAAAATAAGCGATGCATGACAACTTATTGCGGGCTCTCCGGTTTTTCTCTGAGCATCCAAGGGAAAAAACAGCCAATTATTGCGGCGCTACAATACAAAACCCAACCGTACGACTCTGTAGAGACGTTCTCAAAGAGTGTTAAACGAAAGTTGAGTGGAGGGAATTCCTGTATTCATTGGCAGTGACAGATACATTTTTATAACAAATTCCATCCATCGGGTATTCCGCCTTTATAAAGAAGCACTGCTGGCTACAGAGCCGCGCTATTTATTTAAATTGAATTGCAGATCGGGACGTTCGTCTTGGAAATACAACTTTGTGAAAAGGAAAGAAAAAAGAAAGTAGAATCCTTTCAAATTATATGTACCGTATTTTGCGCTCCATAAGGCGCACCTGACCATAGGACGCAGGGAGGGTAGGGTTCTGTGACAGCTGCAGTAAGTGACAGCTGAGACAGGTGGCGCTGTGTTTACAGCGACACAGTCTCAGTGATTACGTTCTTCGTCAACTCTACGGGCTCTATGGTGAGCTCCTATTCTGTGGTGACGGGTCCCCCTGAGGACCCCCCGAAAACCACGGCGAGGGCCCAGACACGGTCGCCGCCGCCGCTCGATTTGATACATGTGATCTGGTTAGATCACTTGTATTAAACGAGCAGCGGCTCCCACTGTACATTTAGCTCTGCTTGTCCTGAGCAGGGCTGAATGTACAAAAAAACTACTCGCCTGGCTGCATAGGGATTCGCTCCATAGGACGCACAGACATTTTTGCCCCCCTTTTGGGGGGAAAAAGTGCGTCTTATGGTGCGAAAAACACGGTAATCAAGCAGGCCCTTGAATGTCATAGTCTGTAGATCTAAAGGATCAATCAGATTGTAAAGTGTATGACCATGTTAGCTGCTACTCTCTAATCTCGGGGCCATTCACACCTATGAAATCAATAGAAGTCAATGCATGTTGTAAAGCCATGGTTCTCAACTGGTGGGTCGTGACCCAAAAGTGGGTCGCGGCCCCATGTTCAGTGGGTCGCTGCATACCTTCCACTGTACTCGGTGAGAGGGTCCTCAGCTTCCCTCATAGCGCAGCACCAGAGGCGGCGCTAGAGTTTGCGAGGCCCTAGATGGTGAGACCCCCACAGGGGGTTAAAGCAGGGTTCTGTAGAGTCTCCCCAGCACCAGGGCACTGTGGGGTCTCACCAGCCTGGTGAGACCCCACAGTGCCCTGGTGAGACCCCACAGTGCCCTGGTGAGACCCCACAGAGCCCTGGTGAGACCCCACAGAGCCTTGGTGAGACCCCACAGAGCGCTAGTTAAATCTCTAGGGTCTCATTAGGGCTCTCTAGGGCGAGGCCCCCACAAGGGCTCTCTAGAGCCTCACCAGGGCCCTATGGAGTCTTACCAGGGAAGAGTGACGTCTCTTCTCATTGGCTGGTGGTCAGAGCTTCAGAGTGGATATACCGAAGAAATGGATAAGCTCTCAGTTAGACACCGGCAGGGCAAATTAGGCAGCTGCAAGGCCCTTGGGAGTGCGAGGCCTTAGGTGACTGCCTAATTTGCCTGATTAAAGAGCTGCCTCTAATTTGCCTAATTAAAGAGCTGCCTCTGCGCAGCACTGTCAGTTCTCATGCTGCGCAGTAGGGATGCACGAATACCGGTATTTTGGTATCGAGTACGAGTACCGATAATATTTTTTCGGTACTCGCCGATATCAATTACCGAGTAACGGAAGTCCTATTCAGGAAGGATTAGCCTTCCTCATTAGCCGGAAGCCGGGCAGCGTGTAAAGACTCGCCACCCGGCTTCCCGATTAACAAGAAAGTCCCCTTTTACCTTGGTTTGTATGGCAGCGTGTAATGACTCAGCGCCCGGCTTCCTGATTCAGGAAGTATCGGGCTTGGCATTGGAGAATTTGGGTGAGTACGAGTAGTCGCCCAAATACTCGGTATCGGCACCCATATCGATACTAGTATCGGTATCGGTGCATGCCAAATTACAAGTATGTAAAACATAAACAAATCCATATAAACCTTCTGTTACTATAAACCACGATTAACTAACTATGTGTGTGTCCGTGTACAACCACATACACCTATACAAAATTATACATATACGGTATATACATATACACATATACACATGGACACACACATATGACTGGAGGCCCCGTTACCCTAAAACAACCATCTCTGCATACCAATTACCAAGGCCCATAGCTGCAACACACCGACTCAGGGAAAACCACAGAATTGCTGGAGACATTTTACACATGTTACTGTTACTTTTTTCTCTCATGTGTTTCGTGCGCATTTAAATTGTGTGTACACGCTTTTTCGTGGCCGTGTTTGTGGTGCCATTAACAAGCAATGACACCGCAAGCACATTGGGCGCTTTCGAATCGTTCTGTAAATGTGCGTCAAAGCACGCATTTGGTGCACATTCATGGAATGCAAAGGCGTGAACAGGTCCTTAGGCCGCATTCACACCTCCGAGTTGCGGGAACATGCGCCTCATTCGTGCGCACTAATGCGTGTTCATGTGCTGTGTTTACCATTAAGTTTTAAAAAGGTAATGCGGCAAACTGCGCGGCATGCGCGCTGTGTTTTTGGCTTTCATGTTTGTGCAGGTTTTAATGCGTGCAAACGCGGAGGAAAAACACGCATCTTCCTGGCTACGTTTTGGGTGCTATTAGAAATCAATGGCAATGCAAATGCGTTTTGCCACATTTCTGTCAACATGTGCCAAAGCGTGTTTTTGAGCACATTTGGCGCGCTTTTACGACATGCGCAGGTGTAAATGCGGCCTTAAAGAGTGGTCAGCCACCATGAGGAGAATGTATCGAGACGGGAGCAGACAGAATCTAGTGCAGTTGCCCATAGCAACCAATCAAGTCTTTTTCTTTCATTTTCAACGCTTAACTGAACAAATTGATCGGTTGCCATGGGTCACTGCTCCAGATTCTGTCTGCTCCAGCTTTGATCAATTCCCCTTAATGTTTCACGCCGTGTTTCCTTTAAGACAGAATATGAAGTAGTTGCCAATGGCAACCAATCAAGCTTCAGTTAAGCTTTGCAAATAAAAGATCAAAGTTGATTGGTTGCCATGGTCAACTGCTCCAGATTCTGTCTGCTCCACTCAACTTTCAGCTAAGATTTGCACAGTTTTTAATTAGCAAAATGTGCAAAGCCTGTGTGAATGTTAAGTGAATCATAGGTGGAAACATTTATAAACAGACATCACTTGATATCGTTTTTAATGAATGGCTAATCCTCTTATTTGAAAAATCGATCCGTGTGTGTCCAGCATTATTAGGAGATATGCTGTCCCCCTCCCTTCCCCCTTTATAGTATTACAATCGCGTCATCTCCCCTCACAGCTGATTCCCCCCTCCCCCTGAACTACACTTCCCAGCATACATTCCCTTCCCAGCTGGTGACACGTCACACCTTACAGCCGAACGCGGTCACGCCCCTTTCGCTTCTCTGGACTACACCTCCCGGCATCCTTAACGGTAGCCGAGCCAATGGGAGGCCACCGGCGGACAGCTGCGAGGGCGGTGATTGGCCGGCGGGGGACATCCGGGCTGTGTAAAGGAAGTAAGTGACGTTTTGTACTCGGGCTGGAGCCGGAGGAGGAGAATGGCTGCGCAGGGAGGTGGGTAGAGTGTTGGGGGGCGATGGTGGTAAGAGGGGAACGGTGTATGGGAATGGCAACTACCTGTGCTTGGCAGATTACACCAAGCAGAAGCCATTGGTTTCTCCAGGTGTCAGGGGAACTACAAGTCCCAGCGTGCTCTACCTGCTTCTGGAACATTTGTGCTCACTGACTGATATGGGATAATGGTTGCCTGGTTTGGTCAATTCGGTCCCTATGTCTGTGGACACCAGCAGCTATCCCCAGTCAAGTGATCTCTTGAAACAGCAGTGGGTCGTATTGGCTGTATCTGTGATCAGCCAGAGCTGTGGATGTCTCCTTGTCCTCCATAGACATAAACATGCCTGCCCTGGGGAGTGTGCACATTTATGGAAGGAAAGATCATTGGTTTGTCGGATTGTGCACACACATCCATCCAATGTCTGCTGCCAATAGAAAAGTGCTTGTAGATGTCTGATCTCTCTATGCCTGAGATGAATGGTGAAATGGTCCTATATCTATATGGAGTCTGTAGTCTCCCCTTTAGAGGGTTAAACTTGTGGAAATTGTTCCCCCTGAGAGCTTTAGATGCAGTAGGGAAGAGATAAACCCCCCTTTTAGGTTATTTGCTGTCTGTGTACCACTGGGGAAATTTCCTCTTCATTTCCTGTCTCTGTGGCAAAACAGGAAGTTGGATGACATCTCCCAAAGTGAGCATAATTCTCCTCTTAGACATTTGTCCCCTAATAACAGGTGTCCCATTGGAAGATCCTCCCCTCATCTCTTGTTCGGGGGACAACTCTAAACTTTTGGATATGGCCTCTATTTTCTTTGTTGGTGGTCACCAGGACAGAAAGGGGGGCGAATCTCCCCAGTGGGTACACCGACAGTGACAAAAAGAACTTTGCCCTTAAAAAAAAAAAAAGGGAGAGTTGCTTAGAGATGCACTTTACGGCTAATGATGATGAGCGCCGGTTCGGCCCAAACCCTGTCCGAAACAATCCAGGTCCAAAAAAAAATTTGGCTCTGGATTGTCCAAATCCATTCCGTCAGTCCAGGTCAGATTAGCTTCATGGGCCTCTCGCCCTGATTGGGTGAGAGGCCCATGTAGGGCCCTGTACATTGGCCTCTCACCAATCAGCTGCGGATCAGGGAATTCCCCGCCCATCAGCTGACCATAAAAAAATGGCGGAATGCTTGTTTTGACAAATTGACCTTATATGGCCACATGGCCTTATTAGGTAAATATAATCTACCTAATATAGCCATATAAGGTCAATGACATCACTGTATCCCGCCCTCTTGCTTACGTGCAGCTCCAGGTGGGATTTCCCTGGAATTTCATGTTTGGAGGAGCTCAGGTCCAGACCTGGATTGGTCCAAACCAGAGCTCATCCCCATTTTTGACCCCCCTGTCCTTTTTTTCTTTTCTTGTCTTTGTCCCATTTTGTGAGATTTTTCCTTTTACTTCCTGTCCCAGAGACCCAGCAGGATCTGCCTGGCTGCTAGACTGGTCCCCACCGCCTCTGCTCCCCCGGGCTCAAGCATTCTATGGACCCGTGATGTCATCACCTCTAATGCAGGTCCATTCACTTGCATTAGGCGTGAGGACACCAAGGGACATGCTAGAGCGGAGGCCAACCGCCACAGGACCGAGGATCAGGTGAGCTTCTGATCATCATGCGTGGATATAATGGCTTTCATTTGTCTGGGAAGACTTTCCACTCATGAACTAAAAACACAAAGCGCACAGCTCACCCCTATCATGCGTCCCTGCAATCCACACTCTGTGCATGGATGACTCTCTGCTGGAGTGATAGGCTGAAAAGAAATTCCAACTTTATTTCACATGCATCTATACAAAGAACCGCTGACGCGTTTCTGCCTTGTCTGTGGGAATTTGCGTCCATTAAGGTCAGGTACTGATGTTGGATTAGAAGACCTGGCTTGTAATTCATCCCAATGGTGATCAGTGGGGTTGAGGTCAGGGCTCTGTGTACTCCAGTTCCTTTACACTAAACTCCCTTTACACTAAACTCCCTTTACACTAAACTCATCACTTCACACTTTGTGCACAGGGGCTCAGTAATGCTGGAACTCAAAAGGCCCTTCCCCCAAATTACGGCCCCAAGGTTGGAAGTGCACAGTTGTCTTAAAGGCACTGTTCAGATTTTGCATTTGAGTCTGCAACACATTGCAACTGCAATCAGTGGATTGTGGGTGCGATGCTCTGACCCCTGCAGACTTTCTTATCGCCCGTTCCTGTGCTGAGGTACAGAGGGAAGTATGAATAGACGAAGTGAGTAACGTTGCAGCATTTGTATTGCATTAAGATCTATGAATCTCTCTGTCATTTGTGCGGACAGGACTTTGGGGTGGTTCACACGATAAACAGTGTGTTCCAGACCGGTCAGGCTCTGGTACTCACCTAATCGCAATCTGGATGGATCCTTGCGTTCAGGTCCCAGTGCCTGCGTTCCGGTCCAGTGCGATCTGCAAAAATAGTGCTTGCAGCCCCCTCCCGCCCCTCAACACAGGAAACCGGCTGGATTGCGATTCAGTGCGTTCCAGAGCCTGACCCTTCTGGGACGCATGGTTTATGGTGGGAACAGGATCTGGCTGAATTCAGATTGTGACAGGAGCCCATGGGGAGAAGATCCCCGCTATTAAGGTAAGTTGGGGAGCACTATGGGGTTGGTGGGCTGGGGATGTGACCGTGTCTCATTTTACACCCTGAATATGGCTGCAACATGAAACACGGTCCAAAAAGTAAACTTTGCCTTTTGTAACATCTAAATAATTTGGAGGGGTGTCCACTAATTTTCCCAAATAGTTTAGAAAACAAAGTGGTACTCTAAGGACCTGTTCACACGACGTCCGTTTTCTGTGCTGACCTGATCCGTACGCTCCTGCACTCAAAATGCATCCCAATGTATCCCTATGTGTTTTATGGGCTCCAGTTCTCACGTGCGCAGTCCGTTCAGGTTAGGACAGAAAAATACTGCATGTCACATTTTGTACGGTCCAGAAACGCATAACGCGTCAAACTCGTCAAAAATGCACTGCAGCTAACATACTGACAGCCCCACTCCAGCATATATATATATATAATTTTTTTTTTTTTTTAACTGGAACGCATCAAAAATGCGGCCAAACACATAGCATTGTGTCTGCTGATCCGCACCTGATCAGGACCTGAAACTCATGTGAACAAGCCCGCAGTCTTTACAAGTGCCTTCCAATTCCAGTTTGGGAATGTTAACTACTTCAGGACAGGACTTGTTTTTTGCGGTGGGCGGTCCTGAAGTAGTTATACCAAGAACACAGCTGCTGCAGTCTTCTTGGTATCTTTGATTGCTGTTTAGATACAAGCAAAGGATCGCTTGCATTGTGCGGCAGAATGTGCTAACCCCCCCATCACCACCCCTGCTGTCGGCCACCCTGTGCGGGCCCGGCACAGCGGGTCTCCCCTGACAGATCGGAGGGAGATCAGCAAGCTTCTAGCCGCTGATCTCTCCTTCGATCACTGGACCTGGAAGTGATGTGTATAACATCACTTCCGGTGTCACTGGGCACAGTCTTCGGCTCTTAGAGCCAGGAGAAGAAGCTGGTAAGGAAGGTCTCGGCATCATCAGTTTCTTTGGGGTCCCCGGGTGACCCCTGATGTCTCCATCCAAGGGACCTGTCACATATTTGCAATTACTATCTGATGGCAATAAAGTTAAGTATAAAAAAAAAATGCAAGTCATAAAAAAAATTGAAAGCCCCTCGCCCCCACATACACGCAAATTCAAGTGCCAAAACGCGTCGGGTTTGCCAATGCGCAGAAACAAAATCTGCGCCACACATTTACATATCGTCGCGTATGTCAGAGTGAGCAATAATTCTAGGGCCGTCAATCACTGTTCACAGTAAGCTGATGAGCAGTAAAAGCTTTGAAAGCGTTGCTTAAGGGAAATTTTGGGTATTGTAGTTTTTTTGCGCTTTCACGGACGCACGCAATTTGAAGGCTTGACATGTTTAGTATATATTTACCCAACGTAACCCTATATCTTATTTTACCAAATTTGGTATCATGTTCTGTTTCCCCTTCGTCTTCCAGAACAGCTTACGAGAGATAGGCTCCGCCCCTTTTAGTAGGAAACACGTCACCCCTAGTTGTTTTAAAAGGCCCGCCTCTCTCCTAGCTCCTCAGTTTTTTGTGTTTCCTCCGTCAGGGGGAGACATGTCACCGGAACGGTGGGGGGGATAGGGGAAAGGTACCCCAGTATTCCCTCTCAGTGGGACCCTTGTGTGGGTCAGAAGTATCTTTTTAGTAGGCCGCCGGTGCGCGCCTCTGTCAGTAGGGGTTTCCTCACCGGATCCTTCCTCCTCTTCAGTGCCCGTGGAGGGCCAGCACCGGATCCTGCGTTTCCCCCTTGGCTGAATCCTGGGACCACGCGGCTCAGCAGTCAGGGGCCGCCGGTCTAGGTTTCCCGGGAGATTCTCCACGGCCGGTTCGGATGGCCGACTAGGGTGACGCAACTTCCGGGCGCCGCGGCCTTGCATTCCTTGCACAACCCACTGCACCGCGTGTGCAGAAACCTGAGCGAATCTGCTCTGCATTTGGTGTGAACAAGGCCTTAAAGTGACAGTCGGCACTCCCATTAGGATCTGTTTAAGATTCCCATTCTGGAACTGCAAAGTTCTTTAAAGGCTTCAACAAAGCAGCTCAAAGCTTGCTGACATTTTCCTATGTGCTTTGCAAAAGCTTGTTGTACACATCATGTATACAAGCTGATGACCCTTCTGGGCAAGGCCTAAGACTCTCCAAGGGTTTCAGACCTAATCTTTCCCCAATCATCTTCCAGGACAGCAACCTGAGAGATGATTGGTTCCACCTTCTACAGGAAACACAATTAGCAAAACAGTTAAAAGCCCCTCCCCTTCATCTCCTGCCACTTGCATCACTGTAGCGTTTGCTCAGCTACAAATCTCGGCATGGTCATCCATGTACAACTGTAGGCAACCCATTCATTGTTGCTGCATGTTTCCATTTGCCTTGCCATCTCCTAGCAGTGTAGCCGTGGGCACCCTGACATCCCTGGCTAACCATCTGTGATAATGCCCTAATGTGTTCATGAGAGTATGTCATATGCTTTCCCAGAACAGGGATACCATAAGCAATTTTATGAGCCTAGAGCAACCATGGATAATCTGCCATGCTCCAGTAGCAATGGGCCTACAAGTCCTAGCATGGGCAGTTTGGGGGTCCTAGAGCAACCATGGATAAACTGCCTTGCTCCAGTAGTAGTGGGTCTACAAGTCCTAGTGCAGGCAATTTGGTATCCTAGAGCAACCATGGACAATCTGCCTTGCTCCAGGAATAGTGGGTCTACAAGTCCTAGCATGGGCAGTTTGGGGGTTCTGGAGCAACCATGGACTATCTGCCTTGCTCCAGTAGCAATGGGTCTAAAAGTCCTTGCTTGGGCAATATGAGATCCTAGGGCAGCCATGGATAAACTGCCTTGCTCCATTAGTATTGGGTTTACCAGCCCGAGCATTGGCTGATGGTCATTGTGGTGAGGAACCCTAAAGCTGTTGTGACCAACTTTATAGCCGCATTCTGCAGCTAAGGAACCATCAGATCCTGTATATCCTTGAAAGTGGGCCCTAGGGGGGGAGTCGGAGTGCAGAGCCCTGGCCTAAGTTTTGGTGTTTCTCTCTGCTCCCTTTCATAACGCGGAATAATGATAACGTGGCACCATCTCTTGCTATCATATGTACCCAAAAAAGCAAGATCTCTATAGAAGTGTATGTCATTGGCCATTTTCCCTTTCTTCATTTATATGTCCACAATTGATTTTGTTGTCACTTTTTATTATGTTGGATGTAACACCACTGGCTAGGCTAATGCAGATAGTCAGCCAGGGTGATAAAAAATATATGTCTCTATCAGAGGTGGCCGAAATTGTAAGGAATTTAGAGGCCAGTCTGTCTAGTCCAGGAGCCAGCTCCATTGGCAGTAACTAGAAAACACCTCAAAAGTGAAGTGCCAGTTGTAATGGAGCTTTGACTACTTGGCTTCTGAGATTTGTCTGGCCGTGAGAGATAGTCGTGGCCAAAAATATCGCCACCCCCTGCATTTTTGTCAGATAATGTAACACTTTGGGCAGAAAATTGTTGCAATTACAAATGTTTAGGCATTCTCATGTTGGTTTCTTTATGTATTGGTATGACCCAAAAAAAGTGGAGAAAAAAAAAAGCCAAATGTGACTGGACAAAATGTATTGGCACCCTCAATTAATATTTGGTAGCACAGCACCTGCAAAAAATAACTGGAATCAATAGCTTCCTGTAACCATCAATGAGTTTCTTACAGCTCTCTACAGGAATTTTGGAGCTCTCTTCTTTCACCAACTGCTCCAGGTCTCTCAGATTGGAAAGGTTCCTTTTCCCCAACTGCTATTCTGAGATCTCTCCACAGGGGCTCTATGGGATTCGGATCTGGGCTCATTGCTGGCCAGTCCAGTACTCTCCTCCAGCGCTTTGTCTGAAACCATTTCTGGGTGCTTTTTGACGTGTGCTTTGGGTCATTGTACTGCTGCAAGACCCATGACCTCTGACGAAGACCCAACTTTCTGACACTACACCTACATTGCACCTCAGAATACTTTGGTAGTCCTCAGATTTCATAATGCCATGCACACAGTCCAAATATCCAGTGCCCGAAGCAGCAAAGCAACCCCAACACATCAGTGAACCTCAACCATGTGTGACTATAGACTGTATTTTTTTTTCTGCGGTATTTACACCCCCTTCCTGTCCAGGCCATTTTTCAGTATTCAGCGCTGCCGTACTTTGACTGACATTTATTCCATCATGCAACGCTGTACTGAAACTAATTTTGGACCATTTTTTAGGGACAGATGGAGCTTTCTTTCTTTTGGTGGTGTTTAATCACCACTGGGGGGTTTATTTTTTACTATATTAAGAAAAAATTACAGAAAAAAAAGTTTCCCCTATATTAAATTATAAAACCTTTATTTATTACCCAAGTTTTTGGTAATATATAAGACGGGGTCACGTCGGGTAAAAGACACCAAACATGTAAAGCCTTAAAATTGCGCGCATGCGCGAAACCTCAAAAAGCTACAATACCCAAAATTGGCCATAGGCGACGCTTTTACTGCTCATCAGCTTAGGCCCCGTTCACACTGAGCGATTTATCGCGCGATTTTTGCAGCGATATCGCTCTATGTAGCTTCTCCAATACATTTCAATGGAGCTGTTCACATCTCGTCGCTCAATAGCGCTTGTAGCTCGTCGCTGGTAGCTTGTCGCTCCTACATGACCCTTTTTTAGAGCGATTTTGCTCCTGATTGCATACAGCCCAATAGGAAAAAGTCACGCGATGTCGCTCGTCGCGCAATATCGCGCAATTTTCATGTCGCTCAGTGTGAAGGGGGCCTTAGTGTTATCAGTGATTGATGGCCCGAGAATTATTGCTCTCACTGCGACGATATGTAACGTGTGTAGCGCAATTGTCGTTTTCGCGCGCTGCTGCATCTAACGCATATTTACGTTTATGTGCGTAAACGGGGTGGGGGACTTAAAAATGTTGTTTTTTTTTGTGACTTATTTTAACTTTTTTTTAATTTATATTTACACTTTATTTTTACACTTATTGTTATTGCTATCACATGGGATAACAATCCCCCTATATAAAAGCAAAGGCACACTGACAGGTCCTCTTTATGGAGACATTAGGGGTCTCTAGAACCCCTAATGTCACGTGGGGACCCCAAAAGAAGCTTATGAAGCCGAGATCTGCTTTATCAGCTTCTTCTCTCTGGCTATAGCAGCCAGATGACTGACAGGTGAATGTGTAAGTGATGTAATACACATTACTTCCGCATTCACAGGAAGATGCTGATCTCCCTCCAGGGGCGTCCCGAGGCTGGGTGACACCAGGAGCGGTAACCAAGTGTCACCCCGCCGAGATGTCACTGCGCGTGACGTCACCACGCGCGTGCGCGATGACGTCATTGCGCACGCGCGGCAGTATTCTGATACCTGCAGGTGGCTTAAGTGGTGTGCAGAGACAAAAGTATCCCCCCCCCGTGCATGTTCCACGTACTGTATGTGGAAATAAAGTTTTGAGAAAGCGCTACTACTACTTGACAAATATGGCAGAATCGGCTAATTATTTATTACAGGTATTTTATAGCGCCGACAATTTATGCAGCACCTTACATAGTTGCACATTCACATCAGTCCCTACTCTCAAGGAGATTACAATCTAAGGTCCCTATTTCACTTGCATACATAGAGGGCCAACTTAGAGAGGAGCCAATTGACCTACCAGCATGTCTTTGGAGTGTGGGAGGAAACCCACGCAGGCACAAAGAGAACATGCAAACTCCTTGCAGATGGGTACCTGGCTGGGATTCAACCGGGAACCCCCAGTCAGAAGCGCTAACCACTACGCCACTGTGCTGCCCATGCTGTGCTGGTATTTATCTTCCATCTGTAAAAAAAGAAAAAAAAAAGTTACATCTCGCATACATAGAATTGTCTCTACATCACTAATTATGACTGTTTCCATGTGCGCTGTATCTCGAGCTGTACATCAGTCACTGTCCTGTCTCATTTTATTTGCAGCATCCAAGTGTCTCATGCCAGAATTAAGTCCATGTGGTGCATCAGCAATGTTAATGCTTTTGCATGAGATTGGCAGTGGTGATAACTAGTAAATCCATAGTGATCCTTACATTGACCTGATGATCAAAACAGGGATGACCACAGTCTATATTTTGTGTTGGGTACCCTGTCACCGGATCATTCAACATCAATCTTCCTGTAAGATTGTTTTTAATGCATTTCGGGCATGTTGTTTACCCGTTAAAGCCTCCCTTGTGTAGACTTTTGTTGGGCGCTGCTATCTTGGATGTGATGGCAGCAGGCTCAGAGCTGTCACTTCCTTCCCTGGCCTGCCAAATACAGTGTATGACCACACAAGAAGTAAAGGGTCAGTACGTGCCTAGCTAATACACTTCTATGGTGAAGTGTTGCTGTACCCGTTAAAGGTATGGATGGATCCTTTGGCTGAAATCATCCGCAAACCCAAGCAAGCCATGAAGGCGAAGACTTCTTTTAAGAAGTATATAAATATGCCAGAAATGTTATAACGCTTGTATTGACAATCTGTTATAGTCCTAAGGGGTGAATGCAAATGATTGCTTTAATGTATTGAAATTCTTTCTTGTAGAAGTAGCCAAATTTTTACAAACACAGAATGGAATTCCTTCACCCAGTCCAGTCAACAGTGCTGTGGACCCTTACCATGCCTGCAGCATCCTCCAGCAACTTAAGGCAATGTACGACGAAGGCAAGCTGACGGATATCGTCGTGCAGGTGGATCACGGCAAACATTTTTCTTGTCACAGAAACGTCCTTGCAGCAATCAGTCCGTACTTCAGGTATGTCATTTGAAGACGTCATCAGATTTTGATTGGAAGGTCCGGTTCGCTATCAAGGAAGGTGGGCTGGGGCCAAGCTAATTTGTAGGGTCTCAGTAACAAGGGGTCTTGATGAATGTTTTCAATGTGATTGTCTACTCATCTCTAAGGAGAGCTGTATGTTTATTCTGCAGGGGATTGCACAGAACTCTGGGTAAATTCTGCCCCCTCCCCTCCTGCATGGCCTTGACAATGTTTACACTCACCAAAACCAGTAAAGTAGTATAGTACGGCCAGTCCCCGAGTTACATACGACTCCTACTTACAAACGGAGGCTATTGCTGTATAGGGGTAGTTGTAATGCTACCGTGCTCGTGCTGACGAGGAGTGCCCGCCTTTTTGGGTCTGGTTTGTAGTACTGTATGTACATTACAGGAAGTTGGCTCTTGTTAGACATGTAGATGAGGGGTGCCTGCCTCTTCTTCTGGGTCACTGTATGGTTTTTAATGCTGTCTGTATCCTCATTAGAAAGATTTATTCTCACTTCCTGTCCTTGAGACAACAGGAAGGGAGAGGCAATCTACCCCTAGGAAGGGAAATTTACTCCTATAGGAGTTATCATGGGAAAAAGGTGTCTCCACTAAAACTTTATCACCAATCCTTGTTTCCACGACAACCCAAAATTTTCCAAATCCAATTGTCACAGGGACAGAAAGTGAGGTGAAATCTTCTGAACAGGGCCACACACAGCAAAACAAACTTTACACGGGGCAAACCCTTCCCTATGCTATCCAAAACAAAACATTTTTGGCTGGAGTTACACTTAAAAACATTTTACCTATTCCAACTTGCATACAAATTCAACTTAAGAAAAAAACCTACAGTCCCTATGTTGTTCGTAACCTGGGGACTGCCTGTATCTGCACATATGCTGATACAGCTATAGAACATAATGACTGTTCCAGGCACAGCCACTGCAGCCATAGAAGACCCTACCAAACACCATACGGGCCGGGTCAGTTGAAGCATGCATTTTGTGCATTTGGGTTCCATGTTATGTGGAAGATCCGACAGCTGGGGAGGCCACACAGCAAATGTACCTTTTTAAAAGTTCAATTGCACTTCATAAAAATATTTAGAAAGTTGACCACCTATGCCTTAACCCTTTTGCTGCCACAAACGTAGAACAAACCCCTCCCCCCCCCCCAATCTTCCAGGACAGCATCCTGAGAGATGATTGGTTCTCCCATCTACAGGGAACACAATTGACAAGAGGTTTATTAACACCTCCCACCCCCCTCATCCCTCAGTTTAGATTGTGTTTCTTACCGTTCAGTAGACATCGTCACGTTTCTTTTTCTCTTTTCCCAGATGGCCTTGAGGTCAGGGGTTTCTTCCACCTGTAGGGCACTGCTGTCTTTTTCCCAAGGAAGTTCAGCCTTGTCCCTGGAGTCAGAGGGTTCCCCTTGTCAGGTTCTCTGTACATCTTTTCTTTATCAGAGGACCTCACCTGAGCTGTCGACTTTTTCTCCTGGAAGTGACTTAGGTGTGTGTCTGCCTTAGGTGGTTTTTTTTTTTTGTTTTTTTTTAACTATTACCAAAAATAATACCTTATTTGTGTATCACTCGGCTGTAGATCCTCAAATCATCTCTGAATTGGTGCTGACACCTTCCTTCTGGAGGGTGGCTACTTTTGTTCCCCATGGTCCCTGTGTGTGTTGTAAAGTAGTCACCGCTCCAAGCTCACTCCTGTGATAGACTATAACTTCAATGCGAATTAGTAGACTAAATGTGAGATTGTAGGCCATCACAGGAGTGAGCTTGGAGCGGTGACTACTTTACAACACACAGGGACCATGGGGGAAGAAAAGTAGCCCCCCTCCAGAAGGAAGGACAGTGTCGGCACCAATTCAGAGATGATTTGAGGATCTACAGCCGAGTGATGCATAAATGAGGTCCAGTTTTATTAATAAAGTACTTGAATGCAACTTTTAAGATTTAACTCCTGAGTTTAGTGTCACTTTGAGTTCAATTGCATCTTTAACATATCAGAGTAGACTAGTGATGTGTGGTCCTAAAATGCTCATCCTTGGCCTTACAGTGAAACATCCCACTCCTGAGACCGACCTCCCAGGGGGAGTTTTTTTATATTTTTTGCGTGTCCGGCAGAGCATAGAATGTGGGCGTACAAGGGTAATTTAATTAAAAGGATCCATCTTTTATTGATCAGATTAGCTATTTGCTCTCTGTACAATTACCAGATATTAATATTGGAAATCATTAATGCTTTCCAAAGAAATCTGACAATACCTTCCCTTTGTTTAAAATGTCATAGCAAATTCATACTGGCTATTGTCTAGAACTACCACGTTTTTCTTTTTTTTTTTTTTTTTTTCTGATTTTTTTTTTAGTTTGCTGG